CTAAAGCTAAAACTAAAGTAAATTAAAGCCTAAAGTAACTCTAAACTAAAGTAACTCTAAATAACAGTGTTATAACTTTGTTCCCTATTTTTGCACGGTCCCAGAGTGGATGAGGACTGTCTTCTCTAGCCCCTCCCCCTTCCCCTCTCCCCTCCTCTGCGCCCAAGAGCCCACTTTCCTCCCGCCTCCAAGAGTCCCTCCTAGATCCGTCTGTTGATATCAGTCACTTGTTCGATGTAAATGTGCACCTAAAAAAATAATTTAATTTGAGAAATATTTGGAGGGGGATTATCTATTTTACAGACAACTGGAATACGGAGTCGCATCCATACAGAAAGCAAGAATACGGCAAATGGGAGCTGATTATTCCAGCTGACAAAAATGGCCAATGTCCGATACAGCATGGATCGATCATAAAGGTAAATTTTTGAATTTTTCTCAAAATTTTTGCAGTACGCTGAATATTTTTGTTGTTTTGATTGTTTGAATTGTTGTTGTCAATTCAGCTGGCAGCTTTGCACAATGAATCCAGCACGTAGCTCTGTACTTGTGTTCAACTTTAGTCTTTCTACGTCTTTGGTCGAATTCTCAGTATTTGCTTATTTTCTTGAAGTTTGTTGTAAAAATATATAGAAATCAGTTGTTTCACATTTTTTAAGTTCTATGAAAGCTTGTCAGTTGGACCCCCTTGCAAGTTATGGCCGATTTCTCGGTATTTGCTTGACACAGGTATCTCGTCACCTAAAATTAATCATGCCTCAGGTCAAATTTTAGTAAAAGTTGCAAAGAATGAGGTATTTGGGTGTAGCTGGGGTAAGAACACGTACCAACAGTAATCACATGTTGACAAGGCTACCGATGACTCTTCTCTTTCAAAGCTTACTTAGAAGCATACTGATATCAGGCTTAACTCTTTGGCATATGCCAGTACCAATTTACCATCGAAACGAATGAACGAATCTCGTAGAGGGAGTGGTTGTACCACGGGAGATGCAGTTGCTGTAGTCACTGGTGGATTTAGGGGGTGCGATGGGTTTTCTCCCTCCCCCGAAGGACATAGGTAGCAGTTGTTTTACTGTAGAAAACTCTTTCCGACACTTCCTGTTGCTTCCCGCCTCCCCTAAGAGCTCCATTTTCTCCTCCCTCCCCCCCCCCCCCCCCCCCCCCCCCCCCC